CATGTTTAGATCGTACTAACTCTACTATTGAACAATGGGCTCAAGTCTACGTGACAAACAAGTGAGAAGATACAATACTATTTAACAAATATCAAAATTAGATTTATTGAGACGACCATCCGGACAGTAACACCAAGATCAACGTTCCACTTCACCTTCATTATCGACATCACAGCCCATATCAACGCAAGAAAAATCAAAACCACATCAATCAAAATGGCTACTACCATCAAACGAGTCTGATGAAATGTTTGAACCGAACTTACCTATTAATCTAGATCGATATTCCTTAAAACGGTCATATAGTTTATAGATGAGCTGACACTTGTATCCATTTGTTTTTAACATTGATTCATTTTTGCTGTATAAACAGCATGAAATGTATCATAGAATGTCGAATTTCTTTTTAACAATATTGATATGAGATTTGAACAAAGTAACAAGTTCGAAATAGTTGGCTTGTTCTGTTAGTAATTCAAACAAAAGGAGGCTATACACTTAATTTACAGATACCAACCGACTAATATTGTGTTGAAGTATACATTTCGTGATAAAGAGTAGCCGGGAATGGAATAGTGCGACATCCAGAAAGAGATCTTTTTCCATTTTGTTGTTTTTTCAATTAGTTTTCATCAAGGAAACTTGAACTTTGCTTCGAAATATTCCTCGTTCAATTTTGTACAAAATCGAAAGACAATATAGAATTGAAAATGTTTCACGTGAAAAATGAGAATCATTCCAAGTGGCGGAAACTATCAGGTATAATCTTTCTGTCTGATACAATCAGTTTCTACTACCGATGAACAATGATGGCAATTTCATTTAAACATTTCGAGTTGGTTATGAGATTTGTGACATAATAGATGGTTTAAAGATGCCTAAATTTCAATCATCTATCGTATTTCATCCTGAAGCTCGATATGTACTTTCAAGAGGGATTCATGATGGGAAGTCTCATAGGAAATCTTTGATTAACCGAAATTATTGACGACGAAAAGAAGGTCTTGGTTGGGTCTTGCAGCATTTTTCGAATTTTTAAAAGCTACTCAGTCCAGGCAGTATCTTTTTCGGAATGTAGAATAAGCAATTTTTGGAAATTAAGCTCTTATGTGAAGATAAAATTTTTATACAGGCAAAGGATGAAGTTTTCTGTAGAGAAATAATTGGCTACATTATTTCTTTTGATCGGTTAAATTCTCAGGAAGAAATCTGACACATCTTTTTGTAAGTTCTATGAGGTTATTCAGTCTGTCGAGGCAGAATGCTAGCTGATTTCGTCTCTTTTTTTAGCAGGTGCGACGCATTTATGCGTAACTAAGTCGTAATTCGATCGTAATGGAAAACATGAGAACAAATCTTTTTTATTCTTGGAAATGGAAAAGCATGTTCAAAATTCTAAAAATGCAAATTTTTAGCCCGGAGGCTATCGCGAACGAGAAACGGGAGGGCCAATTTCTTCCGTAATGAAAAGATTTTGTTTTAATCCGGCGAAAATTTAACAAAGCTGTCAGCATCCCCGCAATCCTGACCTCTTTACGACAACCCTCTTTAATCCTGTATACCTAGTCTATCATGAGTTATCAAAAAAATGATTAACCAAGGGTCTTTACATGTAAACAAATTTTATACGTGTTTGCCTTTGCCAGTTCTCTTTAGTACATAATGGGTGAATAGTTATGTATAATATTTCAAACGATGGAATGAAATTCGCTATCCCATAGGAGTAGGACAGTTCGATAAAAGTTTCGATCTGATGACTTGTTTGAACAGATTGACTGGACTCAGATCTTTCCAGATCGATACAATCCTTATTACTCTTCAAGGTCTATTGAGAGGGTACCCATTCCGAGTGTACAGCTCTCGCTCATGCTCACGAGCTGTTCGTATGGGCATGAGCGTTTCTAGCGTACTTTAAATATATGAATTATCGAGAAGAGTCAACTCTTTTTCGCTTCTATTCATTAGGGCTGTACACCCTCACTATCAACCACTCAGCTTCCACCAAGCCGTTTCTCAGCTATTGTAAGGACAAAACATGCTGTAGTTCAGATCATATGAAAGAGAACCCCGAATAACCCGCTCATCACCCTGAACACAGTGTGTTTTGCTCTGCCAGTAGAGGAAAAAACGCAGCTGAAATCTAATTGGTTGATCACTTTTTTAAGGTGACCAAGCAGATTTCACTAGGGTTTTTTCTCTATTTTAAGAACGAAACACACTGTCGTTCGAACAGATGAGAGGGTTTTCCAGGGTCCTCGTTCATGTGACCCGAAGAACAGCATGCTTTGTCCTTATAATAGCTGAGAAACAGCTTTCTAGACTCTGATTGATCAATAGAAAAGGCTCTCGATCAATTAGATTTCAGCAGTTTTTTTCACTATTGTAAGAACAAAACAGGGTTGTTTGGACCGATCAGGAAGTAATCCGGGGAGTTCTTTCATATGGTCAGAGCAACAATATGTTTTGTCCTTTCGATAGCTGAAAAACAAGTTCTTTGAATCTGATTGGTTAATAGAAAGTGCTCTCGATCAATCAAAGTTAGACTGGATTTTTTTTTCTGTATTGGCTGGAGAAAACATAACAATGTTCAGACCGATAAGAGGTTCACCAAAGTTCTTTTATTAGGGATGCACCGGTTTCGGTTTTAGAACCGGCATCGATGGATCTGATTGAAACCGAAACTGGAGCCGATTGGAACCGAGACCGAAATCAGTCAGAACCGATCATCATTAGATTTTTCACCTCCCAGGCTGAGAAGTACGGGCCGATTCGTGCAGGAAAACACCGGAAATGCTAGGAACTTGGAAGCAGAAATCCGGTGTCTGGGTTTGTCCAGTGCCATTCGGAACTACCCAGAATTTGGCTAAGCCGGCGGTCTGATGTGATCAACGAATTCTGCATCGAATTCCTGGCATTTTCTAACCGAAAATGGTGCCTTTCCTGCGACTTCTCGCCATAAATTTACGGAATACTGCTTCAGGAATCATCGACCTGAGTTCTCCAATTTCTCTGTGCAAGGTATCAACCGACTCCGGTTTCGGTTATTTGGAACCGGTCAAAAGTGAAACCGATACATCCCCATCTTTTATATGAACCGAAAAGTACCTTGGGACGTCCGTATTGAAGTAAAAAAAGTTGATATCGAATAATATTTGCCTATTGCAGGCACTCAAACTCAATTTCAAGTGGATTAATGGTCACTGAGGACACTTGAGTTAACTTCAGGTTAACTTATATGGTCCATTCCTACCTAGAAAATGTCTGAGCAGACAACTGAAACTTCGATCCTCTATTCAAGACAAAGGAAAACCTCTAACACTTATGAGGATGAGTGGAAGTTGTACGTCTCTAATCTTCAAAGCTCTTGAAGACTTATGAACAGCTCTCTCATTGAATAGTCCTTGAAGAATTATGGGTACCCTTCTTAGATAGCCTTTGAAGAGTTACGGATACCATTCTCTCTGGATAGTCCTCAAGGGATCTGATCTGAGCTGATCTGTTCGAACAGTTCTTTTGATTGGAGCTGTTTAGTAGCAGCGACTCTTTAGCTCATAGGATCTGAGCTTACTCATAACCTTTTTATGCGGAAGGGTTCGAACAGTACAATGACTATTGCAAAAGGCAAGAAAATAGAATGACTTGGCAAGTTGTACTTTTTCCCTCTGCAATGATAGTTCTAAGTAGACAAGAGCAGTAACGGTTTTTAATTGACTGATATGATCAAAGAAAAGAACAAGGTATGAAAAAAATATTTGTAACCACACGTGTACTTTAGACACAATTGTTTTTATAAACATGTCAATAATATAATCAATGAAGGCATTTTATTCTCAATAAACATTTTTCTCGACTTCTAGTGTGATAAGGTTTACAAAAAATTTGCATAATAAGCTGTTGGAAAACTTGTGAAACACATTTGATTCACTAGTAAACATTATCATCCATGTTTATATATATATGACACAACACGCTTTTAGAGACGTATTTTGTCTGCAAGCAGAAAAAGCTTCTAAGGAAAATTACATTTTTCCAAACTTGTCAATTTAGTACGCCATGCTTTTCACGGACAGAGCAACGAAACAGAATGATATCTTTTTTGGCAACCGATAGTTCATAGAATTCTCTACAACTAACATGGAGTCAGTTGTAGAACATAAGGTTCAGTTTTTGTAAATGTTGTTTCTGTACATATTCACGTCAGTGAATAATCGGGCGGTAAACGGCTACGCAGGACCAGGGTTCCCGATTGTTTTTGGAAGTGGGAAGGGGGGGAGGAACTAAAAATTTGGCAGAAATAGAGTCGACTTTCTACAAGTAATTTGGCAGAAAACATCTTTGGTTTAATTTTATTCCAGCAAATGTAGGAGCTTTCTGCTGAATTGAACTTTAAAATTTTCGCAGAAAGTATAATCAAAAATTATGGTAGAGAGTCTGAAATTGGGGGGGGGGGAGAAGCCTCTCCCTGCTCCTCCTAATCGGGAACCCTGCACGGGACTCTCTCGGAGTTCTTTACGAAAACTTGACTCGAGTTATTCGTTTATTCGTTTTAATAAATTAAAGATGAATGTCAATTTTTCAGTGACAATTGATAAAAATCGTCAAGTTGGCCAGTTTAATCTCACAATAATCGGACTTATACATTATTGATTTTGATGACATAATTTGTTACTCGTTTTTATTAATATTCTCGTTTTATTAATAGTTATTGTTTTTATTATGATTGTATTTCTTCAATAGTTTCATTTATCTTTACATTGATCAAAGAATAGTTTAATTGTCACAATATTCTTTATATTTACAAGCATTAAAAGCACAACGACGATCAATAATTATTTGTCATTATTATAATGTTAATCGTGAATCTATAATTTATATTTTACTTCGTTTATTATTCTTCTTATTACTTTATTTATTTTTGTCATTGTACAACCAATTATAAATTAATTCGAAACAAATAAAGCGCTTTTATATTTATTTATTTTTTATATTTTATTTGTAATATGCCTTCAAAACGACGTCGAACAGCCATGAGAGGTCGACGTAGAAAACAAACACAAGAATCTCCGTCTCAATATATTTATTTACCGATATTATATGAAAGAAGTATACAAAAAAGTGATTCAGATATTCGTACAATACCTGATCATACATTTGGAAAAGTTTATTCAAATCAAATAGTATCTCATAATCAAACAATAGAAGAAAGACCTTCTCCAACTTCATCGTATATGATTGAATCGGAAATTATTGTATCATCAATACAAAAGTCAAGAAAAATTAAATCAATAAAAAAGAAAGAAAATAATCGAAAATTTTCATAAGCTTTTATTAATTTCAACTAAATTAAAATTATAAGTACAAGTTATAAATATCCATGAAACAAGCTACGTATCAGCTATTATAAAATGAATTTAATGAAAAATCAACATTAACTGTTAAAATATCTTTTTCAATTATTGATCTTATGACAAAGATAGAAACAATAACTAGTAAGGTTGTTGCATAGAAGGAAAATGATTGTTTGAATCTATGTTTATAAACAAGATTTTTAAGTCTGTGTATAAGACATAATAATGAATCCAAGTATTACATTGTCACAGTCTCGATAAACACACAATTGAGTGACTAAAGCACTAATGTCTGCGTCAGAATTAAACAGCGATGGATAGATGTAGGCTTAATCACTCAACAACAGTGCAAATAGCAACCTGCAATTTTCATCAATTCAAAGAGGAGAACTTCAGAAGTCTTTTTCTCTGATATTATATGAAACAAAACTTATTTTAAAACTCATCATCTTCGCAAGAAAAATGTAAAAGAATGCATGAAAACGGTGCTCTGTTGATTTTTAGCAAATTTTTTGACTTTTTATCAACATTTCCTTGGAACACAACACCGCTTTTATGTCTTTTTTTTGAATGTTTTGCAAAGATAAATGGATTTTAAAATAATTTTATCTTACATAAAACAAGACGTTCGAAATTCTCCTCTTTTGATTGCTTAAAAGTAGAAGTTGCTGGTCGATGTCGAGTTATTGAGCTTCGATCTATTCCTTTTTTACATATGGCGCGAACACTAATTACTATCAGTGGTAACGACATTGCCAAAGCTCGACGGTAATCATGAAGAATGAGACAAAAGTTAAATCATATCTTCGACCAGTTATAATATCATATCATCCTTAGTTTCACATTTTACTTACATCTTTAAGATCGATGAGTTCTTTATTTGGAGAAAACTTTATATTGAAATCCATAGATTTTGTTTTTCTTCTAACATTTTGCAATAGGCTAGAAATGTAATAAAATGGTTATAACTCGAGAAGAAAGATTCAATGGGACAAAATCCTTTTAACTTTTTCATTTACATCGTGATTTATATAATTATCAAGAAACGAGTAGCTCAAATGGATGTTATCAATCGGATGCTTCTTCGTCATATCTTTTGATCAACCCTAAGTCATATCTATGTCTGACGAACATTAAAACAGTATGAAAAACCTATATAGAATTTGTACTCCTATGAAGTTTTCTGATTACCCACAGATGCCAAGGAGAGATAAACTTATGAAAATAAGCAGTGAAAAGTTCTACGATACTAAAGGAAGACACTCGCGCCATTACAAGAGATAGATACGAGTCATCGAGCGATTGATTTGACTGTTGTAGGGCTACACAAGTAAAGAATGACTCATAACGGTAAACCGATCAGTTCGATCGGTATCGGTAAAGAAAAAATCCTACCGGCTGGATCTATGGTGTTGGCTATCACAATCAGTCGCCAAACAGACAAATGAAAGTATTATATGGTTTATGGATTAAAATAAAACAGTAACGATTGACTGAAAGATAACACTAAATAGTATATCATTTGAACTTCAATACATGTACAAAAAAAATCATTGTCTAGTAATACTACATCGTACAAAAAATTAAAATAATAAAAATAATTTTTCTTATGAATCAAATTTTTGTTTTTATTTCTATCGCCAAATTACACACACACACACACACACACACACACACATAAAAATCAATATTCAATCAATAAAATCACCATCTTTTATATGGTAAAAATTTGCCGGACATATTAATATTTACTCTTGGTGCTTCTTTAATTGTTTCATCTTTGTCAACTTTAACTGTAAAATCTACAGCTGACATAATTCCATCACCAAATTTTTCATGTATAACTTCTTTCATTGGTACACCATATTGAAGAAGAATTTCATGAAATCGATAAAGTAATGGATCTGTTGATGGTAATGATGGAAGAATTGAACCTTTAAATGGTGGATGTGTTAATTCATACATTTGTGCAGATGATAAGTTTACATGAAGTATATCAAGTAATTTTTGACATTCTTTTTCATCAGGAAAACTTGCTTGACCATAAAATAAAGCAGCTACCCATATGCAATATTCAATAAACACGTTATTAAAATTTTGATAAAATTGGTTGGTTGTTTTTCAAAATACATGCTATCAAAATTTTCTTTTCCAAAGAGGCGATTCAAAACATGAGGAAGGCGAACATAGACACACAGTATCTGGTAGAGTCCAATATCGATCAATTTCTCGTGATTCGATTCGAAATCAAAAACGTTTTTCCTGATCCAACTCTAGATAAAACTGTTGAATGCGAGATTTATCAAAGATTAAGTATGTGATACAATAACTGCAAACTTCCCGAGGACTAAGCCAATTTCCTGGCAGGCACTGCCTCCTCAGCTCCTATCCTAGATAAAAACTGAGGGAATTTTACAAGTCAAATGACGAAATATTTTCCTTCTAAACTTTGCTTTAGTCAAATTGCCCTATAGAATATTTTTCGTAATATTTAGATTTTATACATGCATATTTATTCTTTCGTTGTGATACATATAAATAAACAAATATTTATACTATTGCCAAATCAATATCATTATTAATGTATTTAAAGAACTGTACAAACGAAAAAAAACCATCTACTGAATTTCGTAAACAAATCGAATACTAAAAGACAAGACAGTTTTTCATGTCATCATTCTGATGAACATCGATTTCTGCTTTCGCACGAAGTTTCACTATAATTTCTCGTATCTGATAAAATTTAAATAAATTCATTTTCGATAAAGAGCTAACATTCAACTAAGTCTACACTATTTTTCACGTACAACTGAAACTTATGCCTTACTTCCTAGTGCTACTATTCTTTATGATGATGAGCAGATATTTTGAATACATACGCATGATAATAAATCCTGATCGCAAGTATTAACGTACCCTCCATCGGTTCACATGTACTGGAAGTATGATTAACATATCTTCTTTCCTCGGTGAAAAATATATTCAGTGAAAATATGCAGACAAAAAGTTTTTGTTTGTCAGTTAACTATTCTATAAGCTATTACTATTTTTCCCCCAGTGATAAAAGTAGCCCCATATGTCTACTTTAGTATTACCAAAGCTCTTGACACATCGTGAAGATCCTAATGATTAGCACGTCCTGAAATAGTGAACCCATGTCGTAGCGCTAACTAGACTTCATTCAATGCTGCGGTTGTAAAACTTTCAGAGCAGATTCGTCGTTTCATCGGAACTTTCTACTAAAATTTTCAAATGAATTGGCCGAAATCATCATGTAAATGGTCTATCTTATTAAAAATCAGCATTTCTCCATCAACAGACACTCTTAATAAGAAGTCCAGGGTCGATTATGGAATGGATGGGTAATCTAACGAAAAATTCTGATCGTATTTATATTCAGTGCTCACATCTTTTTCATGTCATTTCAAAAGTATATTATAGATGTATAAAAATCAGATTACAATTAAGTGAAAAAAGTGTCATTTTAATATATTTATACAAAAAAACAAGATATCCGTCGATGAACATAGAGATTCATTGTGACTGAATGTAATCATTTAATAGAGTCGAAGTCTTTCGTCATCTTTTAACAGTAAGTCGAGATTCATTTTTTTTTATTATTTGTTAGACGTACTTATAATTTGGTAAAATGTGCTGAATCTACTCGAAATCGAAAGAGTTCGTATTGAACAATGATTAATTACAGTGAATATCGCCCATATAAGTTCTAATGAATTTCATCGAAAACATGAAATCATCACTATTGTCTTGTGTCGAGGGAAGAGCAGAACTCGAGCACGTCGGGTTGGTATCGGGTCCGGGTCCAAAAATTTTTGAACTGGACGGACTCTAGTCAGGACACCAAAGTGCCCTTCCCTAACGACAATCTCTAGCACGTATACATCCAAAATATCAACTCGATATTATAAAGAATAGTAGCACTTTCTTGCCAGCAACTACTTTTGTCCAAGACTGTATCATCTTATTTTTAAATAGAATCCTACTTCGTCACGTCCTAATTTTTGTCCAATATCTTCAAATGTTAAATTGTTTTTTCTTTTCGCCTCAAGTAATTGTTTTGATACTTCCGATAGATCCATTCTTATGTATGTATATATATATATATATCTTTAATGCAAAACAGAAAAACATCTAATGAATACATCAATATTTTCATATTCAATACACAATATCTAATAACTAAATTATTTACAAACAGCTTGATTAATATATATATATATATATAACGTGATAAAAAATATACATTTAGGAAAATAAGCTAGAAAAAAAACCAGGATTAGTATTTCGTTGTTGTGGTTGCTGATTATTTAAATAACGTTGAATTATATCAAAGATCAATTGTCGACCATTGCTATTCATACCCTAGAAAAGTCAAAAGAAAATTTCAATGAATATCTTTTCTTTCTTTATTGACTTACATATCGAAGTAAATTGTCAACTGTTGATGAACCAACGGTACGACGAACTTCATCAGTTAAATTTTGTTTTTGATGATCATTTAATTGATTCAATTGACTTATTAATGAATGATAAGGATTAACAGCTCGAAAACCTAACCAAGCCCCTACAAAAATCAAAGTAATAATAAAATAAATAAGATTAAAAAAAAATGAATTTTTATCCTACCAATAACAGTACCAATAAGAGCACCAATATTTCCGAAAATTACCGCTCCAACTACACAACCAGCAAGTGCATAAAATGCTTGCCAGAACATACCCCAAAGAGTACTAATTGTTGACTAAAAGTATTCGAACAAAAAAAAAATAATAAGTTACATTGAGTTTTTTCTATTTATTATTATAACTTACATTTCGATTTCCAATTAAATTAAGGATAGCTTGAAAATAATTTGAATTGAAGAATGAAGACATGATTTATCTTAAAAAGAAAAAGTTATATAAATCGACTTAAATACTCCTCTTTCATAACAAAATATTTATCAGTTGAAAAAAGAACGGCACATATATAGAGTAACAATACTTATCTTCTTCCAACTAATGATATAAGCATTAATGTATACAGATGCACTCTTTGACACTTTGTGTTAATAGAACAAAAAAAGTCACGTGCAAGGTTATTTGAATATATGAATGTATGCTTGTGGTGTCACATGCGAACGAATCACATGGTTAGTATAGATGTCACTAAATACCGTTTATTGTTATAGATCATTATATTAAACAATCGATGTCAACAGAAATGACCGTTTCGCTTCATTTCTCTTGTATGACCACTATGTGAGGATATGTGCTTCTACAAAATTGAGAATGACGGTAGCACTATTCAACTACTTTGTCCAAATAAACAACAACAACACTGACAAGAATATTTATGTAATTTATACTATGAAAATCTTAAGAATAAGTGCCTAAAACTGATCTGTCCAAAAAGTTTTGTTCTATTTCGGAAATAGCATTTCAGTGACAGAAGAAAGATTTTTTTAATACCTGGAGGTATCTTCCTCAGATATGGAACGAAAATTATTCGAACAGTTCAATTCCATGAATCGAACTGTTGAAACATATCAATTACCATCAAAAGAACTGTTCTTGTGATTTGAACTATTTTATTCCATTTATGCATCTGTAGTTTATCAGTGTTAAGCTAATAATATACAAATTAAGTGTCATGATTTAAAGGAGTAATTTTATCTTGTTATGTCAAAATTGTGAAACTTAATAAATTTGTTAATGATAAAAGTTCTACCTTTAGACACATGGTTTGATGTCAATTATTTATCGTTGTTCTACATAGATATCCTTTTGTCATAAGAAAAAAAAAAGATAGTAATTAATGCTTAATTTTTTATAGACATTTTTTTGTTAATGTGTGATGTATTATAAGTAGAAATAAGTGTTTTTGTTTCGCTCATTTCAATTCTATCGAATGATTTTCTGATTGATCTACATTATCAATTAATCTTTATAATCGTACGATGAACATAATTCTACGAATTATTGAATTTATAAAGTTTATCTTTATTGATAATAATTTATACGATAATGTTTATGTTAATACCGTTATGTATTTCTATATCAAACGATTGAACTTGTTATAAAAGGCATTCAAATAATTTTATAAATCTTTTTGGTTTTTTTTGTACTTGGAACATCGGTAGTGATATTGTGCATTTCCCTTAAGGAAAGCTACATCATATTTTACAAATGCAAAAATATATTTTTTTAGCTTTAAAATTCTGTCATAATGAATATTACAGTTAGTTCAATATTGATTTTCCTTCTTAAAAAAAGTAAAGACAAAGATGATAGATACAGTTTCCAAACGATCACTTGATATTGAAACGATAATCATTAAACTTTTGATGAATCAAACATAATATACAGATGTTTTATATGATCTAATCAAATAGCAGGTTAATTTATAAAATCAAAAAACTATTATAAAATATATTTTTTTCAATCGTAAAAATAAGCCAATGCTAAAGATAGCAGTGTACATATCTCTACGATAATGATCATGTCATTTTTATCATAGATTAATTTTATATGAACTGATAAAACATATATATTTAATTTATGAAGACTTATCTAGTTAAGTATGTTTGACGAATACCGCACTCAAAATACACCAAAAATTGTTCGTTCTTCCCCTTTATTATTACATGTCCTAAAATAATATTTTATTTATGTATCGATTGATAAACACACATTTCACAAAATCAATACTATGAATTCAAATGATATCCTGGTTGTTCACGTCCGATACTCTTCATACATGTTTGTTCAAGATTTCCAAGAGCTAAACTAGATCCATTAATGAAATGAAGAAGAATCAATTCTATATATTGTCAAAAAAGCGATAAAATATTTTGTAAGCAATGGAATGTCATCAATAGTAGGACAAGCTAATATACAATTCATTTTTGACGAACCGCCGTTACATTGATCTGTTTGTAAAGAATCATCTTGATAACCACGACAAATTGTATCTAAAAACCGAATCGGTGATATTCCATGTTGCATACATGCTTGAATTTCAATTATAAAATGACAAAGACCAACTGATGAAAATAACCTTCCAGGTGTCAAAACCACCACTTTCTATACATAATGATCCCCACGAATTTTCAAGTACATAACCAAAATATGTTTGTCCATGAATCATGGGCGCACCCAAAGGTCGGACTATGGAATCGGTCCCCCTCCCTCGAAAAAAATTGTTGATATTAATTTTTTCATCTTTTTTATGAACATCAGAGAAATATTATTTAAATGTACATAAAGCTGTTGATAAAAACTTGAATATCGATAGTATCATTGATGAATTTGCCAAATCAAACCGTAAAATAAGTTTTACAAATGAACCTATTTAATTGTCTTGCTTCAAATATATTTATTTTTTTCTGATTTCCATTTTGTAAATTTATACTCACAAGAGGGATGTTTCGAGTGGGGCGAGGCCCTCCAATAATCGAAAAGTTTTTAAAAGTTATTAAAAATTTTCGAAAAAATTTTGAAAATCTCAATAATTTATAAAAATTTGCGAAAAATTTCTGAAAAAAATTGTCAACCTCGCTCCAATAATTTCCACCTCGGCAGACAACTGATTCACAAAATAAAAACATGAACAAGAATAAATTCGAAAGCGGTCACTATAAACAAAAAAATACCATTAAATAAGGTTCAAAAACCTTGGTCCCCTCCAAGCAAAAAACCTGGTTGCGTCATTGTGTACGTAGATGAAATAATCAAAGAAACAGATTAATGATTCTAATGTAACAAAATTACTATAACTAGACATAATGAAATTGATTAATATAAAAATATTCATGAAATGAAATATATTCAGGATTATAGCGATGTTCATTCCATATCAACTTGCAAATACAAAAAAGTGCATATTCGAAAAGCAATCAAACAATAGAACCAGCTTAATAGCTCCATACCATTGATACGCATGTGGTAGAAGCTACGTTCGGACCTAACCATTGCCAAGGATTCGATAGAGCACCTTTCCGATCAGCACTCAGTAAAAATGATGTGGAAACAACAAGTTCTATGGATGTGGGTGGATGTTCATTCTATCTTAATTAATACCCATACTCACACTCACACCCCAACTTTTACAACAAAATCCAAAAAATAATAAAGATGATTCTGTTTCAGTACAGATTTCATATTTAATTAATTTCCTTTACGACAAAAATGCTTTCAAAATAAGATTATCTCTGCGTAGCGGCTTTTTCCGAATTCTACTTAATGCAAAAAGTATTGAATTAAAAACTGAATACTATAGATGAAAAACAGCGTTATTAAAAAGCGGTAAGTTTTCTTTGCAGTACGCTGTATAATTACGAGATTTACTATTTTTTCTTTTCTTTCACAAATGTTTTTCTTCATAGATAAACATATATTATTTATAGGATGACATAATTTATCATATCGTAATTTTTGTTGTTTCGTTCCTGCCATTCGATAACTTTCACTCGACATTCAAATTCTTCTGAGACATTCATGTTTCATATCATTAAAAAAGATCATAATCATCGCAATAATATCGTACTCAGACAAATTCAATCAAAAATGATATGTGTAAAAACGAGTAGGATGTCATGAACTCAACTTCAGTGATATCATCCGGTATGTGACGCCTTCCGTCTTCTTCCATTGGATCTTTTTCATTGCACATTGCGTTCTTCATCTTCTTACCAACGAGCACGTGGATGTCATTAAAACCCTATCAGAGAGACTCCTCGTTCAGTTTGTAAGTGTACAAGCGTGTAAATCGAGACACCTTTAGTATACATTGTATACTAACTAGTATGCGATGTATTCTTACCCGACCATATTGCCGGTTTTGTCCACGGTACACTCTAGCAGGGCGTGCCGGGTCTGCTCGCGCACACACACCAAAACAATTTCATAGCGATGAACAACACCCTTCGCATTTATCACCAAAGAAAGAAAAGCACGACAATGTATTCTCGTGCCAAAAAAACAAAAAAATAGAAAATCATCAATTACAATTTCTTTTCACATTTTCAATCCTTCATTTTCTCAAGTTCGATATGAGGATGCGTAGAAGGCAGTGATTTTTGCAAGATTTCTTCAGCTTCTTCATAATATGAAAGTGCGGTCGAGTACTCGCCCATCTTATCATACACATTACCGATGTTATTGTAGGAAGTAGTCAACTGGCGATGATTTCGAGGGAAAGCTATTTTTCGGATTTCAAGTGATTGTTCGTAGAATGAAAGTGCTTTTGAGTACTCGCCCATGTCATTATACATCAAACCGATGTTGTTGTAGATAGCTGCCAAGGCGGGATGATTTGCAGGGAGAGCTATTTTGTCGATTTCAAGTGATTGTTCGTACGATGAAAGTGCTTTAGAGTAGTCGCCCATGTTATTATACACCAAACCAATGTTGTTGTAGGATTGAGCGAAGTCGGGATGATTTGAAGGGAGAGCTATTTTTCGGATTTCGAGCGATTGTTCGTAGAATGAAACTGCTTTCGAGTACTCGCCCATGTTATTATACACCAAACCGATGTTGTTGTAGGAAGTAGCCAAGTCGGGATGATTCGCAGGGAGAGCTATTTTTCGGATTCCAACTGATTGTTCGTACGATGAAAGTGCTTTAGAGTAGTCGCCTATGTTATTATACACCAAACCGATGTTGTTGTAGATAGTAGCCAACTCGGGATGATTCGGAGGGAGAGCTATTTTGTCGATTTCAAGTGATTGTTCGTACGATGAAAGTGCTTTCGAGTACTCGCCCATGT